ATGAGCGAATGGAAAATTTTGCACAGGTGATATAAGAAGGTTGGATTGGAGGGGAAAAGAGGAGGTAGGCATTGGAAAGATTGGTTTAAGAGACTTTAGCAAATCCTAGGTAAGAAGTTGTTCTTCTGGATGGAACCACCATGAGACCACCGTGAGAGACACGATGAAGATTATGCCCTGTCTGGATGTAGTTTAAAATATTTTAGATTGAGGTATTCAACTCACAGAATCAAATAAGTCTTTTTTCCAATTTGCAGGGCAAAAATTAATAGATACTCAGTTTTAAGGATTCCTTGGATGAAGATTTTCTCAAACATTTGATACCTACTACTGTTTGGCCTATGTATGTGTATCTGCTTGTATTTAGTGATTGTAAATTTAGCTTTCACTGTGTTTCTCAAAGAATACACATCCTGTCCTGTCACTTGAACCAAATTACTAATCTGTAGGATTTGGCAACAGACTGACCTTGTGCTGGGACTGTATAGGGATTGATCCTAAGAGAGAAGGAAGAAGTGGGGGTGTTGAAAAGGAAGTCAAAGATAGGTTTTTAATTTAAGCATGGGTATTCAGATAGTACTGCTACCAGAAGTAGAGAAAGAGAGAGTAGTAGAAACTGATTCTGGGGAGGGGGAGGTAGAGTTTAGGATGGACTAGATTTGAAATGCATAGAGGATATCTACGTGATTATGTATAGGATGTAGTTACAGATTGTTAAGGGTTTGGGAGAGATTCAGCCTAAAGATAAATAGAGCTTAGGAGAGAAAGGTAGAGCTGAAACTGACTATTGGTGAAAGTAGAAAATATGGCTAAGACAGAACTTTGGAATACACCTACAGATTCTTTGTTGAGAGAAGTCTAAAGGAAAGAAAAACAATCAGATCTGTGAGGGGAAGTGCAATAGAGTACAGTACCCAAGAAGATGGGAAAGAATTTTCAATAAAAATGTTGAAAAATACAGAGACCTCTAAATGCCCCCAAACAGTGTTGGGTTAGGTGATTCGGGGCTCCTTTGGAAAAAGCATTTTTTGTAGAGTGATCAGGGCAGAAGCCACTTCGTATAGTGTTTGCAGTATTCTCTGTTTTAATGCAATGTTCTTGATTTTCTTTTTAGCTGAAACTGTATGTTAGGCCGCTGTTTTCATGGAGTAATCTATAATGACTTACAAATCCACACCCTGGGAACATAGGGCTCATCTTCTATAAATGCAGTTTTAATATTCTTTTATTTAAATATGTTACCTCAGACTGTTTCAAATCATAACTTATCTAGGTGCTAGTATCATTTTCTCAAATGCACTGAAATGACTTTCTTTAAAATCATTAGCAAACTACTTTGTAAATGCCTCTCCCATAGGACTTATATTATAATTGACATTACAGAGAGATGAATAATGAATTCCCTGTCATTGCCAGCTCTTCTTTTACACTAAGTACATTGATGCTTTCTTTAAGGCTCACTGGTTTAATGAAGATCCTGTCAAAAACTCTTTGGTGTAGGGGGCCACCTGCATATGAAATTTCTAGAGTAGAATCTGATACGTGGTGACTTTTGTTTCCATCTGCAGAAAATAGTTTTAAGGGGATACAAGACTCACCCTAAGTAGTAGTAATGATTATAATGATGAAAACTGCAGTTGTCATTATTTGCATTTTTCTCTCTGTTACGTATGTGTGTGTGTGAGAGTGTATTTTTTCTAATCTTCACAGTGACTCTTAAATGTGTAGGTCTCATTATTCCCATTTTATACTTGAAGGAACTGAGGCTCAGAATATTTAAATAAATTGTATGAGCTTTTTGGCTTATTAAAAACAGAGCCAGGATTCTAATCAGCTTTTTCTGACTTTCAAGACCATGTTCTCTACATGGCCCATGCAGTTTTATGAATTATTTGAAAGGTAAGCTTTAACACTGTTGATGGCAACTACTCACTCTGGTTTGGGAGCTCAACACCTCATTATTTTCTTCCTTTTTTCCTCCAACTAGGGAAGAAGAGATCACTTTCATTTGCTTAAACATGTTGCCATTTGCCATTGTTGGTTGTCAGGTACTTTTCTGTGAATTTAATACTGTTATATATATATTAATCTTCACATCAGCTCTATGAGAGGTGGGTGTATTTCCCCTCAACACTTTGTTACGAACCTTTGAAACATCATTGTACACTCATATACTCACCACCTAGATTTGACAGTTAACATTTTCATTATTTTATTACATATCTGTAACCTAGCCATCATCAATTCAATTTAATTTTGACTCATTTGCAAGTAAATTAAAGACATTACTATCCCTCCCTTAAATACTTCAGGATGCCTATTACTGACTGTAGTTCACTATTTAGGTACAACTTTTTAAAAAAAAAAATATTTGAGAGAGAGCCAGAGAAAGAGAGCACAAGCAAGAGGGAGGGGCAGAGGGAGAAGCAGAAGCAGAATCCCTGCTGAGCAGAGAGCCCAGGACCCTGGGATCATGACCTGAGCCCAAAGCAGATGCTTAACCGACTGAGCCACCCAGGCGCCCCATGTACAACTTTTTTGATCTGAAATTCACATTCAGTGAAATGCACAAATCTTAAATGTACATTCTTTGAGTTTTGATAAATGCATATACCTGTGTAACCCCAAATACCTATCAAGATATTAAACATTACTATTGGTAGGTGTCTCTTTTATTCACATTTTATAGGTGAGGAAACTGAAGCACAGAGAAGTTAATGATCTGCCTAAGGTGACACTGCCAATAAATTGCAGAACGAGAATTCAAACTCACGTAGTCTGGCTGCAGGGTTTGCGCTCCTAACCACATCACCATACAACGGATTAGCCTCACATATTCGCGTATCCTTTTACATTTCATGTGTACAGATGTAATGTTTATTTTTTACATAGGTATGTAGACACAGAAGTAGTATGTTTGGGATTAGAGTAGAAATCCTGTTCTAGAAATGCATCAGTTCTTTGCATGAAGTTTATGGCAGTTGAAGTGGGAAACTAACTCCCTTCATTGAAATACTAGGGTGCATCTCTGTATAATAACTCTAGTCTTACCTAGATCCTTGATTAATTTTTCCATATATAAAGTCATAGTTAATTTCCTAATGACAACACTGAGGTTCAGGAAAATCCTAAAGTGCCACTTGAATAATTAAGGGTAAATGATGTTCAGTATAGTTTTGTATTAAGCGTATTTTTGCTCTATTAGTAGAAAATTATTCATCTGTGTGTGGTATATATAGTACCACTCACCTTGATGTCTCAATCCCCAAAATAATGGAATTAGCCAATTTAGGATTTATAGCTATGAACTTGGTGAAGTTTTTAACATGAATGGAATTTTTTGACCTTTCCAAATAAATTGCATAAAAATATGAATAAGGACTGGAATAGATTATATTAATTTTATTTTTGCGATACTTAGGTGTACCATCCCTATGAAAATAAATCGTATCTCTTTCCTGTGTTGTGTTCACATCACAAGCTGTATCTGAAAAGTTGACTAGTACTCTTTGTTCACTATCCAAATGATGAAAAAGCAACCATTATGTGTATTAAAAAAAATTCTGTGTTACTCAAAAAGCAATTTAAATAAATAAAAGCATGTAGTTAGCAAAACCTAGCCAGTCACTAGAGGGCAGAGCAATACTATACTTTAGATTTTATTTGAAAATTTCCGGTTTAAAAATTGCTGACCATGGAAAAATATACCAATGCACAATTAAATAGAAATTTCTTCGTATTCTTATTATCTTGTCTTGCTGTGAAATCCAATAACATGATTATTACCCTTGTATCAAAGGAGATTTTCTAGCAGTTACACTGCTTTCAAAAGGGCATGATTATTTAGAAGAGTATAAGTATCCCTCAAGAGAAAACATCAAGGCTTAGAAAGACTGATGGCATTAAATCATTTCTTACTATAGTACCCTGAAATTGGATTGCATGCAGTACACATTTTAGGTGAGACGTTATGACAGATTAAGTTTGAGACAGGCTTACTAGTATTTAAATGTAAGAATTCATTGAAATGTGGAGCATTTTTTTAATCTTTCAGCTGAAATGTGTTGAATCATTAAGACTTTGAAATTACCAAATTGTAAAAGCAATGAACTAACTCTAGCTTCTTTTTTAAATGTTAAAATTCTCTCAAGTCACATTCACTTAATTTCATTTCTGTTTGAAATTTTCTGTCATTCTGGTATATTTTCATTATGACTTATTTTTTCTGATCTTTAAAATAAAGGAGGCTCTGAAGTAGTTTCCTAGTGAGTAACCTGAGTAGTTCAGTATCTCAAAAGATAGAAAATTTTCCTTTGAATGTGTAGTTTGGATTTATATGATTTATATAGGATTCATTTTTTTTTTTTTAAAGATTTTATTTATTTATTTGACAGAGAGAGACACAGCGAGAGAGGGAACACAAGCAGGGGGAGGGGGAGAGGGAGAAGCAGGCTTCCCGCAGAGTAGGGAGCCCGATGCGGGGCTCCATCCCAGGACCCTGAGACCATGACCTGAGCCGAAGGCAGACGCTTAACGACTGAGCCACCCAGGCGCCCCTATAGGATTCATTTCTAATAGAGTACACGAGATGTCATAAAAAGCACTGGATTTTGGAATCCAAAGAAGCAGGGCCCCAGTTATCATGTTTTTGCTTTACAACCTTGAACAAGTCACATTACCCCTCTGAAGTAACCATTTTACAAATTGGAGAATTGGAAAAAAGTTGTTTTTGTTTTTTTTTTTTAATTTACAACCAGGTTGTTTTGAGGATTGTGTTTGTGTCTGTGTGTGTGTGTATCTCCAAAGATGAGACTGTAAAGACAAATTTTAGTAGGTGATATAAGCTTAGAAAAACCTTAGAAATAACTTTGAAATGGGTATTATCTCATAAATGTAGTGACACGAGGGCACCTATTACACAATAAATGTAGTCTCCAGTCCAAAGTGAGGTTGCCAACCTCTTCCCTATCTCTTGAGTGTCTCTGGCTGCTTAATCTCTCTGTAACTCCTCTTTTGCTCCTCTTACGCTTTACTCTGTTTATTTCCATGTTTCCTCTCTCTGTGTTTCTCCTGACTGTCTTTGGTCTCTCTCTGTGTTTTTCTTGTCTCAGGCACCCTCAGGAAGACCCCAAGCCTCTAGCGGTACCTGGTATCATCTCCAGCATGTTTATAGATGTGGAGGATTCCCTGGGATATTGAGAAATACCAGAGGCGCATTGTTCTCCTGTAGTAAGTCCATTAGCATTTACTAAGTGACTTCTGTTAACAGAGCACAGTTGGTGATGCTTTGGGCAAGGAAGAATGAGTCAGGGCATAGGTCAGAAGAAAGAAATTTGTAACCTCTTCTCAGTAGAGGTTCTTGTAGACTAGACACACATGCAAATGAAAACAACAACAAAAGAAAAAGCTGACTAATAATTATATAGATGAGTCGTGTTGTGTGTGTGTTGCAGAGGCCCAGAGTTAAAGGAGTAGAGAAAAACCAGGTGGTATTAATCAAGTTTCCTGCATGAGTTTAGAATTAGGTTTTGAAATACGGCTGGAAGAAAGATGAGGAAAGAGAGGGTGGAAGTGCGTTATTTCTGTGGGGCTTGGCCAGCCTGTTGGCTTGCCTGTGAGGGAATCCCTGATGGGAGGGTAGTAAGATAAGAGCACGAAGTTTCAGCCTACCAACAGTGAACTTTCCTTCAGCTCCCAGTCTTAGAGAAATTCAAGTTATGAAAGGAAGTTCAGGTTACGAAAGGAAGTTCAGCCAAGTTGAGACTTTTCATAAACATAAGTGGTATCTGTTGCCAGTTTTAGAATTTTTAGCGTTGAAGGGTAAATTGTGACTATGAAATAATAAAAGAGGTATCTGTGCCATAAAATGAGGACATGCCATTAGAATATGATCTAGGGATGCATTGTAAACATGAAGATGAATTAAAATAGTAAATCAGTATAACAAGTTCGTTGTTTTTGTGTTAGAAATTTATTTTTGCCCTTATATTTTAGATAGTCCTACCTGTGGACACACTGTGGTTTTCAGAGTTGGGAACCTCAGTTAGCTGTGTCACGTTGGGTCGCCCACAGAACACTGCATCTCAGTTTCCTCAGATGTAAGCTAAGGGTGAAAATACTGAGCTCAGAATTGTTAGCGTGAATTAAATAATCTTTTAAATTCTTGAGTGCATGCTAGGTACTGCTTGTTACTTGCAGACACTTAAAAAGCATCTTTAAAGTAGTTTGTAAAATATAGTGTAATTTCTGAGATCTTTTTAACTGTAGAAGCAACCCCATAGTATTCAGAAAATGCTATATATACAGGGAATATTTATAACGTGGGGACAAGATACAAAGAATAACATTAACATGAGCACCTGAGTACCTACTACTGACTTAGGAGACAGAGCTGTCCCCGGCCCCATTCCCTTGCCTCTCTTTAACATTCCCCGCCCCGCCGCCCGCCCAATCCTAGATATTGAGTTTATTGCTTCCTTGTTTTTCTTCATAGTTTTTTTTTTTCACATATTTATGTATCCCCTACATTATTTTTGCTTGTTTTTGAATTTTATATAAGTAATAAAGTACTATCTTCTTATGCAACATCTATTTTTGCAGCTTAGCAGCAACATGTTTGAGCGTATACTTGTTATTCACTTATGATCACAGTTACATTTCATTGTCTGAAAATACTACAGTTTATTTGTACACTTTCTTTTGATGGCCATTTCAGATTGTTTACAGATTTTGTGTTATTAGAACGCGGAGAGGGAAAATTCTTGAGATCCCTGTTCATGCTCCTTGATGTACATATTATTTCTCTAGGATATACATTCAGGAGTATAGCTGCTGGGTCACAAGGTATGCCCAGCGTCAGGACTCTACACGACAGTGGCAAATGGATTTCCATAGAACTTGTTACGTTTTATACTCCCTCTAGCCCGATCTAAGTGTTTTCCTATGGTTCTTTAAAATGCCTTGATTTTTGTTGAAAGAATTTTTTAAGTTGCCAAATAACACCATGTTAACAGTAAACCCTGATGAGCTATTTTTTAAAATTAGTTTTATCCTTTGCAGCAGCTGCTTTTCTTTGTCACAGTTTTCCAATTGTCACTTGTACCTTTTCTCAAACTTACTAAGTCAGACATCCTGAAATAGCTGGGTGTGTTTGCTAGCTAAGTTTTTTCTCCCAAGAAAACTACCTCATAATAATGTGACGTTCTCTTATGTTAAATGAAAATTGTTAGCCCTTCCTGACTTCTAAAGACAGTTGGGGCAGAGAAATGTACACGTCTTTTACTGATTTCTTTTTTCTTTAATTCGAGTTGAGAGAGAGAAAGAATGACCCACAGAGGGCCGTTTGCAAGGTGCAGTGACTTAACCTGTGTTTTGCTTTGCATTGCGGAAGTCCCCAAAGCTCGGGTAAATGACTCCGCTTGTATTTGCCACACTCTCCCATTTTCTGACCTTCACCCACTTCTGTTTTTCTCAGCCATTGATTCTTTTGTATGTGATTATACTTCTCTACCCCATTCTGGTCTCCATATCACAGTTCTTCCAACCTGATACTTTCTGCCTGGTGGCCCATAATGTTCGTTGGTTGACCTCAGTATTTTGCCTATCCTCAGACTTGTTGCCACCGTCTCTCACATTAATTTTCTGAGGCTTTCCAGGAGTGTACCAGGATCTAGCCAAGTGCCTAGTACTTGCTATTCATTCGATGTTTATTGAATGAAGAAAGAAATGATGTAAATGTCTGAAAAGCACTGAAATGCCTTTTCCTTGCTCAGCAATAGTAATTTCCCCAAACGCAGTGGGCAGAAATCACACATACTGAAAACAGTTCTGCCCGTGGGTAGCTTTCTAAACCACAAGCAGTTATTTCTTCTTGAGCTTCAGTCTGGTTTTTTTTTTTGAAAAATGAGAGCAGTAGACCAGTGATCTGTAAGATTCCTTTTGACTCCAGCATTTTGTATTCTGTCTTCAGTTGAAATGAAGATTAGTTTCTCTCTGGATGTCTAGGCACCACTGCCAAAGCCCGAATCCATCTACCTCACTGGGCTTGAGGCCCATGACTGTGTCACAGCAACCTGTCAGTCATTGTCTCCCGTAACTACAGCAGGTGGGGCATACATCGAACTTTCTCTTCTTCCTCTCTTTGTTATTTAGGGTTGATTTGTTCTAGAGAAAGAAGGCATTTATCGTTCTTTGTAAAAGTGTATCGAATACCTTTGGCTTCCCAATTTCATTCACCAGGCTGCCTGGGCATTGTTCAGTGTAAAAACCTTGAGTTCTGCCCCCTTGTTCCTCCTCCCCTTCCTCCTCCAGCCCCACAACTGTGTCCAGGGCACTTTGTCCTCCTCTGTTATTTGCTGTACAACTTAACCCCATGTCTTTTCTCCCAGCCCAGTTACCATCTTTGAGTCAGTGTTGATTTTTACTGTTGGGTCTTTCCGTGAAGTCAGTGGATCTGTAGTCATCTGGTGCTAGAAGAAACAAGTTGCCCCTTCCTTTCTCCTGTGGTTTCTCTGCAAGGGACTCTCAACTCCGTTCACTCTGTCTTCCCAGAGCTATTGCAGGGACTCTAACTGTGTTACTTGTCTAGATTTCATTTTTTAAAAAATATTTTATTTATTTATTAGCATGAGTGGGGGAGGGGGCAAAAGGAGAAGCAGGCTCCCCACTTAGCAGGGAAGCCTTACATGGGGCTCGATCCCAGGATCCCGGGATCATGACCTGAGCCAAAGGCAGACGCCCAACTGAGTGAGCCACCCAGGTGCCCCTAGATTTCATTTTGTGTCTGCCTCTGAACTCTGTGGATCAAAGGCAAAAGGCACCAGAGAGCAGACTCCATGGAGCAGGGGCACAAACTCTGTCTTAACTTTCTATAAATTGTAAACACTGCCCAGTCACTCCTCAGGGTTCAGGCCATAGACCTGTGTTTTTGACCATGAACCAAGATTAAGTTGGCTCTTTCTGACTTCTGGTCGGGAACACCAAACAGTGTAATCTTGTCACAATGTTATGAATCTGCTTTGTGAAAAATCCTGTGTAAGTCTGGCAAAGTTTAGGTTAAGAAGAGAATAAGTTAAGAATTTTGCAACCAAAAAAAAAAAAAGAAAAGAAAAAGGAGGAAAACTTCTTTAAAGAAGGATTTATTTTTAATAACATTAACTTAATTCTGAATCAAAGATTTGGAATTTAAAAAAATCTTTGTATTTTTTTTTAAATGTTAAATTACTTATTACTGAAAGCCCAGTTGTTAACCACCCACCTCCAGCCTCCATGCACATAAAAGACTCAAGATTTACTGGACTGTCCAGCCATGAAGAACAAGAAGCCAGACTATTTGTGATAATTCACCCCTCCTAACTGCTTACTTGACAAAACTCTACAAAAACACATTATGCCACATGTTCTATTCTCAAAAGAAGCAGTTAATACCATCCTATCTCTAAGGAACAGATTATGTTTTGTTCCTCAGGAATGCAAGGAAGTATCTTTTATGCTTATAAGGGGAAAATGGGAGAAATTACCTGACATGAAAACTTTACTGATAGGAGAATACTCACTCAAACCAGTCTTAAATTGTGTCTTTGATTAATGTAAGAGCTTTGACCTGTTAAGTATTCACATTAATATTTTAAATTAATCAGTTATAAAAGTCCCTTTGTAGTACTAATTCACTTAGTATTTTTTTAATTTAGACAGGCTTGAAAGTACTTCAGAAAACCTACAGTACTGATTTATTATTCTTGTTTTAGTTAAAGTTTTTTGAAAGAAAACTGTATATTCTCTAATGACTAAGTTGCAGCAGATGTTAAAAATACACTATTGTGTTAATAAGTTGGATTATCCTTTAGTAGAAAGTTTGAGTATATATAAACATTTGATGCAAAACTTTCTTTCAGAATCTAGGAAATGCATTTATAACAGATTGTACATTGAATGCACTTAACTCGAAAGAGGCATTTTTAAATGCTAAATTAAGAATAAACTTTGAACTACATATTTGATTTTTATTGTTGTGTTATATCTGTTATACAGCGAAGTGAGGAATACATATAAAAGTAAATTCAAAGTTGGGCTTCATGTAATTAATCGTGTGATTATACAAAATCTAGATTTATCTATATTACTGCAAAGCATCTTCTTAAAATACTTCTGAATAATTTCATTCAAATGTAGGTGTTTCTGGAATGACAATATTCATTTTGTCTGGTAATTTATATCTGGTTCACAAAAAC